TATATCTATATATATATATATATATATATACATATATAAAACATATATAATGATAGAACCAGGTGTAACACTGGCTTCAGGAAACTGAAGCACTTGGTTATAGTGGTGGAAGCTTGTCGTCATGGTGATACATGTAAATACACTGACTGCTGGTAGGAGACAGTGAAAGACAGATGTGCTGCTCATCCTTCGTCTCCTCTGTCAGCTCATCACACTGACTCTGAGGCTGGACATTAATCAGCTGATATAGCCTGCGTCCTCTGGAGACGCCGCTGAGCTGATCTCAGGTCTGTTCTCAGTTTAACTCATGGCCACAGGGGGCAGAGCTGTTCCACAACACGCTTCAGGACAAACACCTGAAATACTTCCTCCTTCTTTTTATCATCGTTTCCATGGCAACAACTCCACCTGCTGATCTCTGACGGAGTCTGTCTGCTACGGTTCTGACACGTGGAAGTGGATCACCTTGAGCATTAGCTTGAGCTTCGACCTTTGACCTTTGACCAAACGAGAGAGAATGAGGGAAGACAGAAGAGGCAACATAAAAAGGTTTGTGTTCTTTTTTTACAACATTATGAAAGAGCAACAGACAGCGTAGCTAGCATTAGCGTTAGCTTAGCTACAGTCTGTGGGTGTTCTGTTAGAGCTCCCCCTGGAGGCCTGGAGCTCTGACGTGTCGTCTCATACACAGTTTTTTTCTGTTCGTATGATTTTCTTGTTGCATCGTTTCTGTATTCTCCGTTTTTTTCATTTGCAGTTTGTTTCTGTTCTTGTGTTTGTTTTGTATTTTCATGTGTTTCTGAAGCTGCATCGTTTCTGCTGATGGAGGAGTTTTACAGCGTTTGTCCTCGTCAGCCGCCGTACTCTGACTGGGACAGAGACTCCTTGTTTCTGTCTCAGACCATCATTGCGTCACTCTGACCTCCCTCCTCTGCGTCTCAACATGAGCTTTAATGACCAGAAGAAAAACATCATTAAAGTTTCATTTAAATAAAGTCGTCTGAGAGCGGCAGCGTTAAACAAGATCCAGAGTTCTGTCTGATCAGTCCGTCAAGTCGTCGTCACATGACGAGAGAGAACTGGATTCAGCTGAATGAACAGAGCCTCAGTGTGTGTGTGTGTGTGTGTGTGTGTCAGTAACATGACCACATTAATAAGCAACATGTATAGGATGTTATTGTCCTGCAGCAGTGAGTCACCAGCAGCTCAGGAAACATGACTCTGTGTGTGTGTGTGTGTGTGTGTGTGTGTGTGTGTATAGAGCCATGACGGAGGAACAAAATGTTTAAAGAGAGAGGAGTGAAGGAGGAGGGAGGAGGACAGAGACAGACAGTTGGAGTCCAGCTGGTCTCGTTCTGCTCCTGAACGTCTCTGATGTTTAACTCTGAACTTTCAGCTCATCGTCAGTTTGTAGAAGGACTTCCTGCTGTCTCTCTCTCTCTCTGTCTCTCTCTCTCTCTCTCTCTCTCTCTCTCTCTCTCTCTCTGTCTCTCTCTCTCTCTCTCTCTCTCTGTCTCTCTCTCTCTCTCTCTCTCTCTCTCTGTCTCTCTCTCTGTCTCTCTCTCTGTCTCTCTCTCTCTCTCCCTCTCTCTCTCTCCCTCTCTTTTTAAAGCTGACTGAATGATCGTTCTCAGTTTGACAACAGGAAATGATACGTCTTTCATCAGATGGAAATCAAACTGATTTCAGGTCAGCTCTACAACCTTCACAGAGACAATAAGACGTTCTTCTCTTCGTTTCACCTGTGATTGTAAATGTTCACTATCACCTATATTTAAACATCTGTACATATTATATATATATTTTTTATTCTTTTTCATTTTGCAGTTCTTTCTTTCTTTCTTGTCACTTTCTGATGTAAAACTGAAAATCTGCCTCCAAACCTGCTTCTGTCTCACTTCACCTGTGTTTTCATCTGTGCTGGAAAACTCACTCTGAGATGTCTGATCCAGACTGAGTCTGGGTCTGAATCTGAGTCTGGGTCTGATCCAGACTGAGTCTGAGTCTGGGTCTGAATCTGAGTCTGAATCTGAGTCTGATCCAGACTGAGTCTGAGTCTGGTTGATGCTTCACTGATGAGTTTATTAATAAATAGTTGAGTTACAGTAATGCTGTAAAGCTGATGACACTTCCTGACTGTCAGACATGTAGAATCACTCAGTGTGAACTGAACCTGTGTCTGACTGAAGGTGAAGAATCTATTCAGATCATCAATATAATCGATCGGGATGAAATGATCAGCTCATGATGTAACTACAGTTCCACTCTGATTCTGTTTCCAGTGAGTCTGTGAAACCAGCATCTGGTCTACAGACTGAAACACACACACACACACACACACACACACACACACACACACACACACACACACAGGTAGACTCACAGATCTTGGCCACGCTGGCCACCAGCAGCCAGATAGCGATGATGTACGGGGTCTGGACGTAGCTCCACTCCCACTGGACCACCCGGTACCCGCCGCCTTGATGATGGTGCTGCCCCCCCTCTTCCTCCTCCGCGGGGCCGGCCGGCTCCTCCACCGCGGACCGGGCCAAGGCGACACCGGGCGCCCCGTATTCTGCTCGGGGCTGCGGGTGGAGGAGGAGCGGTGGGGCGGAGGCAGAGGCGGACACCGGCGGAGAGAAGCCGAGCCCCGGCCCCCGGAGCGGCGGAGAGCCCGTCACGGACAGGTCGGCGGCAGCCGCCGTCAACAGCAGCAGCATCAGACCGAGCGGCAGCATCTTCCCGCGGAGCTCAGCGGGAGGACATCCCTCTGTCCTTTATATACACACCGAGACACGGAGAGGACGGCAGCGGAGGAGGGAGGCCGGCAGCCGGTTTACAACATCAACACACTCACAGGCTCCGGTAAGACACGGAGGAGGGGACACCGGAGCTGAACACGTGACCCGCCCCGTTCTCCTTTAAAGAGACGGACACACTGCAGGTGAAACACAGAGACACTGAAGGACAGACAGAGAGAGAGACAGACACTCAGCTCCATCAGGGTGAAGCTCTCAGCTGATCAGCCTTTATTATTTAACTGAAGTCAAACCTGATGTTTCAACATGGAGGATCCTGTGACTTCTGTCAGTCAGTGAATGAATCACATGCTGAACTTCTGGTGCCACACCTGATCAGGTGGCTTCCTCCAGGTGGATAGATTCTGTGTGTGTGTGTGTGTGTGTGTGTGTTTGTGTGTGTGTCTCCAGAGGATCCACCAGCTGTTTCACAAGCAAAGGTAGAAAACCACTGCTTTAGAGTGTTTGATATGGAACCAGACACAGACTCAATATAATGAGACATGAAGAGAAGGAGCAGTCGTTCTTTATTAATTATACCTGGAACACATTCAATCCTATTTAATATTTCTGTAAAATGTTTAAGTTAAAACAGAGTCTGTGTCGACAGTGAAGAAGAGTCCCACACACTGACCTGAGGTCAGAGGTCAGAGAGAACACCTGGACCGAAACCAAACACATCTCAAAGTGCAAAAACATCACAACTGTACAGAGATCTGTGCTCAGAGGAACACACACACACACACACACACACACACACACACACACACACACACACACACCGTGCTGAAGCAGTGACAGGTGACCTTTGTACCACATTAGTGATTTCTGTGTGATTTTAATTTTAGTTTGTGACACTGTGACATGAAACATTCACCCTGACTTTCCAAACTCCTCAAGGACTTTCAAGGACCTGTCCATGCAGGCTAAGTGGTGACAGAGCAGGTTCATCATGTTCAGACTCGTCTCAGTCTAAATGTCCATCGTTGTGACCAGGTCACCTGTTGAAATGAAAGTTCAGTCTTCACCTTGAAAACTTTATTAACATCACAGACAGTTTTATCTCAAGGCTCCAAACTGGAAGGACTTTATTTTCCAGGACGGGCTCTTCTGACGTTCCTGTTTGAAACTGATCGTCTCTGATTCTGATGCGAGTTAAAAATGTGACGGAGAATTTCTTCAAACATGTTTGAACAGTGGAGAGAATAAAGTCTGAATCAGGTCCATGATCCAAACACAGGAAGAATCTGCTCCTCCTGTCGCTCAGCTGGTCTGGGTTCTGTCTCTAATCAATAGACTGATCGATCGATCGATCGAGTCTCTGCTCAGACTTTGTCTTCTGACTTGTTGAGACCCAGAGCCTGAACCACGTCCACACTGAGACCGCTCTTCAGAGTCCTCCTCACTGAAACACATGAGCAGATATGACACATTTTACATTTGAGACTTTTACATCATGATCATGTTTGTTTGTTTGTTTGTTTGTTTGTTTGTAAACTGCTTCATGTCTCGTGATTCAGTTTCTGAACTTTTTTCACCTTAATTTTGCTTCTGAACTCTTGAAAACACATCGTTAGCAGCAGTGTGTGTTTGCAGTGTGTTAGCAGGTTGTTAGCAGTGTGTTAGAAAGTCGTTAGCATTGTTTTAGCATGATGTTAGCAGGTTGTCAGCAGTGTGTTAGCAGATTGTTAGCAGATTGTTAGCAGGTTGTTAGCAGGTTGTTAGCAAGTCGTTAGCATTGTTTTAGCATGATGTTAGGTTGTCAGCAGTGTGTTAGCAGATTGTTATCAGGTTGTTAACAGGTTGTTAGCAGTGTGTTAGCAGGTTGTTAGCAGGCTGTTAGCAGGTTGTTAGCAGGCTGTTAGCAGTGTGTTAGCAGGTCGTTAGCATTGTTTTAGCATGATGTTAGCAGGTTGTTAGCAGTGTGTTAGCGGGTTGTTAGCAGGCTGTTAGCAGTGTGTTAACAGGTCATTAGCATTGTTTTAGCATGATGTTAGCAGGTTGTCAGCAGTGTGTTAGCAGATTGTTAGCAGGTTATTAGCAGGTTGTTAGCAGGTTGTTAGCAGGTTATTAGCATGATGTTAGCAGATTGCTAGCAGTGTGTTAGCAGATTGTTAGCAGGTTATTAGCATGATGTTAGCAGATTGTTAGCAGTGTGTTGAACTGATCTCTAACACTGAATGGAGACCATCGGCTTCCCTTCTGAGACTTTAATATCACAGTCAGCTTTTAATTTTCTTGTGATAATAACCAGCAGCAGCTGACAGGATCATGGGGGTGAAGCAGCTCTGATTGGTTAGCTCTATGTGAGACACAGGAAGTGACGCAGCCTCTGATGTGACAGCTTCATCTTCAGCCACACGTGTTTGAGTCCGGTTCATGGAAACAGGAGGAAACAGAGAGAACCTTCACTCTGAGCTGATCAGCTGATCCAGAACAATAAGCACAGGTAAACATGAACTCCAGGTGACCTGGTGTCTGAATGGTCCTGGAATCTGTCGGTCTGACTCCTGGGAGGTCAGAGCGTCCTCCACAGCAGAGGTGAAGATTATCTCTGAGTGAAAACAGAGATATGGAGCTGCAGAGATAACAGCCTGTTGTGGACACAGAGTTGCTGTTGTGTCTCAACACAGAGTCTGAACTCTGAGACCTGGACCGTCTGAAGACCAGAGACCAGATCCAGGACAGACTGGACTGGACCTGACTAAGCAGAACGCTAAAACCATCATCACATGATCAGGCCGTGTACTCACATGACTTCCTGTTGAGTCTGGACCGTTTCCGGGTCTTGGGACTGGATGCTCTGTCAGTTGGATTCTGGGTAACGGATTTGACCAACCGGTCCATGATCTCGTCCGTGGCGTCGTCCTGGGAAGTGGTCCCGTCGTCTTTGGCCACAGATATCTGAGACGGACTCACCCTGCCCATACCTGCAGACCAAAACCAGAACGTCAGGCAGAACCAGGACTAAATTATCAACCAGACCTGGACTAAATCCAGACCCCGTCCTCTCTGCAGAGGCCGGAGGACAACCTGTGGTTTACTTTACACCTGACACTGAACTGTAGACTGAAGATAAATATTTGACTTCAGACTTATCTGCTCTGTGTTCATGTGTCAGCAGCGTCTCTACTTCCTGGTTTGACACAGAACTTTATGAACTGTAAACGTGTTGCCTCTCATCAAGAAGGGAAAGTTAAAAGACTCCTGATTTCACTGACACAGACATAAGATCAATGAGGTGTCACTTTTAACAGGAAGTACTTTTACTGTGACGCTTTAACTAGAGGAAGTACTTTTACTGTGACACTGTATCTACAGGAAGTGCTTTTACTGTGACACTTTAACTACAGGAAGTACTTTGACTGTGACACTGGATCTACAGGAAGTGCTTTCACTGTGACACTTTAACCAAAGGAAGTACTTTTACTGTGACACTGTATCTACAGGAACTGTTTTTACTGTGACACTTTAACTACAGGAAGTACTTTGACTGTGACACTAACTGCAGGAAGTACTTTTACTGTGACACTGTATCTACAGGAACTGTTTTTACTGTGACACTTTAACTACAGGAAGTACTTTTACTGTGACACTGGATCTACAGGAAGTGCTTTTACTGTGACACTTTAACCAAAGGAAGTGCTTTTACTGTGATGCTTTAACTACAGGAAGTACTTTTACTGTAACACTGTATCTACAGGAAGTGCTTTTACTGTGACACTTTATCTACAGGAAGTACTTTTACTGTGACACTGTATCTACAGGAAGTGCTTTTACTGTGACGCTTTATCTGCAGGAAGTACTTTTACTGTGACACTGTATCTACAGGAATGCTTTTACTGTGACACTTTAACTACAGGAAGTACTTTTACTGCGGTCTGGAGGTCTGGGGGTCTGGAGGTCTGGAGGTCTGGAGGTCTGGAGGTCTGGGGGTCTGGGGGTCTGGGGGTCTGGAGGTCTGGGGGTCTGGAGGTCTGGGGGTCTGGAGGTCTCGGGGTCTGGAGGTCTGGGGGTCTGGAGGCCTGGAGGTCTGAGGGTCTGGAGGTCTGGGAGTCTGGAGGTCTGGGAGTCTGGGGGTCTGGAGGTCTGGAGGTCTGGAGGTCTGGAGGTCTGGGGGTCTGGAGGTCTGGGGGTCTGGAGGTCTGGGGGTCTGGAGACCAACCATTAACCAGACGTCCCCATGATAAAGGTTTGGAGACCCACTGAGGAACAGTTATTGGTCTGTGACGGTTTGAACACTCAAGAGATTCTAGTTTTGATGGTTCTAAAATAAAAACTGAGTTGTGGGTTTGGTCACGTCAGGTGACGGTCAGGTGACGGTCAGGTGACGGTCAGGTGACGGTCAGGTGACGGTCAGGTGACGGTCAGGTGTCTGAGGTCAGGTCAGTCTACTTCCTCTTCCTGTCATATGTGTCAGTCACTGAGGTGAAGGTGTAGAGAAACAATGATGTGATCAAACAGACACTCTCAGTGTGGACCTGGTGACAGGTTGTTGTCATGGATACGGAGACATAGACGGAGACGGAGTCTTACTGCGGACGGCTCTGGAGCGTCTCAGACCTCTGGTGTCGGTGTTCAGACTGTTGCTGCTGCTGATCAGCAGGTTCTTCATGTTCTCATGCTCCTCCTCCTGACCAGGCTCCGCCTCCGCTGCCAGGGAGACAGGGGAGGGACTGTCCTGACGAGGCACCGCCCCCGAAAACTTCTCCGTCTGAGAGGAAGAGGAGGAGAAAGACAGATCATTCTTCAGACGCCATGATAAAGGTGATGAGAGGAAACAGGATGCATGATGGGAAAAAAAGTTTTATTTTTAGACTCATCAGTGTAAAGTTTCTCTGACGTTCCCCACCAGCCTGAGACAACGACTGGGCTGAAGCCACATGACCACAGGCCCCGCCCACCTCGTGTTCACATATGTTTTCATATCTGTCGTCGGTCTGATATTAAAGGTCTTGTGTTTCCAACTGCTGAGGTTTTATCTCTTCAGATGATTTCAGAGAAGACGTCTGAGACCTGGTCTACAGGGATCTGGACTACAGGGACCTGGACTACAGGGACCTGGACTACAGGGACCTGGACGACAGGGACATGGACTACAGGGACCTGGACTACAGGGACCTGGACTACAGGGTACCTCGGTGATCATCTTGCCCCTGGTCTTGGTTCTCTCTCTGTGAGCGGCTCGTTTCCGTTTGAGGGTGAGGACTCGCTCTCTGGTCGTGCGATACTCGAGAGCGAACTCGCTGATGATGCGACAGAAGCTGGTGACTTTGATGTCTCTGACCGAGGAGGACGGCTGACCCAGGAACAGCAGGAAGGAGTGGAACCTGCGGGGGGGGGGGAACTGATGAGTTGAATCTGTGGAAACACTTTCTCACTTAATGATCAATATCTATCAGAATGATGTCACTTCCTGTGTGTTGGAAACAAAGAGAATATTTCGTTAATGAAGTTCATTATGTTTCTGATGATGGATTGTTATTTTGGACTATTCTGTCTCACCTGTTGATGACCCTCCTGTGCACCACCTTCAGGATGATGATCCTCTGGGTGCAGTCCTTCAGAAAGTCCGTCATCTTGTTCTTCAGCACCGCCTTGGTTTCATGTTTGGCCACCACCTTCAGATTGTCCCATGATGCTTTGCAGCGTCTCTCCAGCTGGACCAGGTTCTCTGAGAGCAGCTCAAAGTCCACCTGAAAAAAAACTCACCTGGTCAACACACCTGCTTATACCTGAACAACTCCAGCTGCAGAACAGGTGAGAGAGGAACAGAGTCGTACTTTGGCCGAGCGGGTGATGGCGGGAATCTCAGAGTACACGTCAGAGCATTCTGGGTAATTTTCCACCATTAGGCTGCAGGTGTGATGCAGCAGAGACTGACGGTGAACCGTGTCCTTCACCTCCACCACCTTCTCCAGGTAACCCAGCTCAAAGCCTTTAGCCTGGAGACACACACACACACACACACACACACACACACACACACACAAAATCAGATTAAAGCTGTTGTCTGTTCACACACAGATTACAGTCTGATCCAGGGTCAGTGTCTTTCTTCACCGTGTCATCAGGGGAAACAACAGATCACTGAATCTGATCCGTGATCATCTACACTCACCTGTCCTGTCTCACCCGGTCCTCACCTGTCAGTGAGACAGGAGGTCAGAGGGCAGGAAGTCACTCTCAGAGCCAGCTCTACTGACTGACAGTGTGTGTGTGTGTGTGTGTGTGTGTGTGTCTCCTCACATTGGAGCTGTTGAGGAAGTTGCCGATGGCGAGCAGCGTGGCGAGGATCCTCCTGAAGGTCTGATTGGACGCAAGCTGCTCCATCCCCAGCTTCAGGTCGAACAGCGGCTCAGCGATCTCCTGCAGGAGGAGACAGAGAGAGACAGAGAGAGAGAGAGACAGAGAGAGAGAGAGAGAGAGAGAGAGAGAGAGACAGAGAGACAGAGACAGAGAGACAGAGAGAGACAGAGTCAACATGTGTTCATGAACATGTCAGACTCTGAGCTCAGCACAGATGTGACTGATGTTTGTTTACTCTTCACATGGTGGAGGTTTGAGTCCTGGACCTGGACTGGACCTGGACCGTGGAGGACTCGTGTGTCCACAGGTGTAAGGAGAACTGTTTCTCCAGAACCAGGTGAGTCCTGGCCCCGCCCTCAGGTCAGTCAGTGGGTGTTACCTTCTCCAGAGCCTCGTAGTTCAGTTTGAAGGCCCAGAGCTGCAGGCGGGGGGTCAGGGCGCTGATGGAGGCCAGGCTGAACAGGAACTGCTCTGCGGTGCCCAGAGGGACGTCGGGATTGGCCAGCTGAGCCTCCTGGATCTTCTGCTTCTCCTCCTCTGTGGGGGTCATGGTCAGGATCTTCTGCTCAGGACAGGGGGGGGGGGGTCAGCTGGGTCAGCTTCAGGACTTAGTCTAGTCTAGTTACAGGAAGTGACCTTTACCTCTATCCCCTCCTTGCTGATGGCAAACTCGTCGAAGTTGAGGATGGCGGTCTTGATGACGTGGACTGCCGGCAGGACGGTCATCCCGATGTTGATGGCGTTGCTTCTCTTCGGGTCCAGAACCAGAATCTCAGACTTTTTGGTCTCAGGTCCTTTCTGCGCACGCACACACACACACGCACACGCACACGCACACGCACACACACACACACACACACACACACACGCACACACAGTGTTCTCATCATTACATTAATACAGACCTGAAGGAAGTGAGGAGGTTAAACACCTGAGGGTTTTAATCATTTGTCATCAGATGTTTCACATTAACAAGTAAACGTTTTATATTTATATATATATATATATTATTATATTACTTATATATATAAAGTATATATATATATATAATCGGTCTTAAACCTTAAATCTGTCATTATATCTGACTATGATCATCAGGAACTTGTTGGTTGGTTTTTTCTTGAAACCTCATTTTATTCTTCTTCACTGTAGATGTTGTTGTTTTTACTCGTCACTGTTGTTATTGTTATTAGTATTTTTACTGTTGATTGTATTTGTCGTTATTTTCTTTCAGCTTTTGTGTCTTTGATCTTAAACATGATTGTTTTCTTGAGTGGAGCCCAGGAGGAAGCGGCTGCTGCCTCGGTGACGGCTGATGTTTAGCTTTAGTTTATTTCGTTTATTTCGAACATGTGCGAGTAACACAACAAAGTAAACTGAAAAACAAACAAATCCAATAACAATAGCCAAAACAAAAATAATAATGTGAACCCAACAGATGATGGATGCAAATAAAGAGAAGAGGGTCAAACCTCCAGGTGAAAGTCTGTGTTAGTTTCTGAGAGGAAACCTTCCCTGATTAAAACATGTCTGACCAACAGAAGGAGCAGAGCTCATGACGTCACCCTGGTGTTCAGAGGGAATCAGCTGAGGGAAGCATGAGGCTTGAGCTGGAGCTGCACTTCCCCCTCTTGTGGCAGAAACAAGTATTACAAAAGAAAACTGTTCCTTCCTTCTCTTTGTCTTGTGTTCTTGTTTGATAGTTCATTGTTTTATTTAGTTATTATTATGACCTGAGCTTCACTGTGATGAAGATGATGAAGATGAAAGCTCAGGTGTGTATCTGCTGAGATCACCATGAGCTCTCCTGATCTACTTCCTGCTCTCCAGAGGATGAACCCTTCACATCTTAATGACTGCTGTTCTGTAGGGATGACAGACAGATGTGGTTACCTTGGCGACAGGGAGTTCCTTGGCTTTCGACTCAAACAGGTGTTCCAGTCGGGCGGTATCCACGGCAACCTTGTCCAGAGACGCCCACACCGTCCCCCGACCGAAGCGACACTTCTGAGGTCGGTCTGCCTGCTTCAGCTCCTTCCAGAACAACTTCACCGTCTTCTTCTTCTTCTGAGAGAACGCCGCCGCCCCTGCCGAGGACGAGGGAAGAGGAGGAGGAGGCGGAGCGCCTGGTGGAGGGGGAGGAGGTGGGGGAGGACACAGACCCCCTGGTGGCGGGGGAGGGGGAGGGGGAGGAGGAGGAGCACCCAGGCCTGGGGGAGGGGGAGGAGGGGGAGGGATGCCAGAGAGGCTGCAGGAGGAGGAGGAGTCGAAAGTGTCCATGTCCAAGACGTCGATGTCCTCCTCGTCCAGCAGGTCGGAGAAGTCCAGGTCTTTGATGCGCAGGGCGGCGGCGCTCGGCTGCAGCTGGTCCCAGGCGTCGGCCGGACCCCCGGGGCCCAGAGGGGTCATCTGGGTGGTCTCCAGACGGCGGGCGTGAGTCTCCACGTCGATGCTGCTCTGCTGCCGCAGGTGACGACTCTGAGGAGGCGGGTTTATAGACAGGTCAGTCACATGGATGGAGGAAGGTGTTCTGATACTGAGTCATTCATACAACCACATCCTGTCACATGACACAACACTGACTCCACCCATCTCCAACATGACTCACTGGAAGATATCGAAAAGGTTGGTGCCCAACAACACAGAGGCCGAACAGCATGTTATTCCTTCACTCATTAAAGACTCAGGGATTCAGCCTTAAGATCAATCATCAGTTCTCTTCACTGACTGTTTCAGCTGAACAAGTTATGATGATGATAACTCTTAAATCATCCCAACAGAGACCGACTTCATCATCACAGGGTCTTTCCTCACTGACCAGAGGACACATAGACTGTCTCATGTGTCCATACTACGTCTGCAGATCATCATCAGCTCCTCCTGTGACTCACTGCTCACACACACTTTTATCTTCTGCTGCTGATTCATGTGATCAAGTCGTCAGTTATAATAACGACTGACAAAGAGACGAGCTGCAGAGACTCAGAGTCGTTACTTCACCATCACAGGCAGTCATCTTTCACTTTGATCACCACACACACACACACCCACACACACACACACACACACACACACACACACACCCACACACACACACACACCTGTTGCTCTTCAGCCAGTCGGGCCAGCGCTGCCTGGGCGGAGCCCTCCAGTCCCTCCAGCTCCGCCCTGCGGGAGGCGCTGCTCTCACTGGAGCTGGAGGACTCTACTGAGCACGCTCTGAAGCTGGACAGACGCTCCAGCACACGACCCCGACGACCCGGATCTGCCCCACCTGAGAGGAGAGAAACACAGAGAGGTCTCACTCTGACTGGATTTACAGAACCAGCCATACAACCAGAAATGGTTTGAATGATCAAATTCTAAAAACACTTTAGAAACAGGAGAAGAAGAAGAGGAAGAAGAGGAAGAAGGAGAAATGAAAAAGACAAACAGACGACATATAAAACCAAGAAGAAGAAGCAGCTTTTTCAGTAATGTGATTTGTGTTGTGACACTGTGGGAGGAGCCACAACTACTAAAGACCTGAGTCTCCTCCCACAGGTCAGAGGTCACCTGCTGTAAACACCAGCTGAGGGACGTGGATTCTCTCACCTTCTTCTTCTGTGGTGTCTGGAGCGGCAGCTGTTGGGCTCAGAGGCACTGAGGCAGCCGTCTTGGAG